CAAGGTCTTAGGTAGAGTCATTGAATGATACACAATTGAATTGGGCGTGGAGTCCATCCAGTTTGACTCTATAATTCAAAGGAATGATAAGAGAAATACTATAAAATTACTCAAAAGAGATTTAAAGAATCAGGGACAGGGAGGTAGAACATAACATGTTACTTAACAATTTTTTATTTTAGTAACTTTCAGGGCTTTCGACCTAGCCCACTGCTCTTTGCCCTGTTACCAATTTTACTGGAAGATATAAACAGCTTTGACTTTGTCTTGTGCATGCATATTGGCCACCTGCTTTTCTTTTTTGGTATTTCAGCGTAACTGAATGTCTATTTTGTATTCTCATAGAGGGAAGCTTTGCTGCTAGATGCAACTAATTACTAATTCCTTTCTTTGCTATTTTTGAAGTCCTGGTGTTTGCCTGTAGTATTAGCTAGGTATTTGGGAGTGTGGGAAAAGACTCCCTGTTTGCAAAGTTTTTGGTTGGCTGGTAAAGGATTATATAGAGCTGTCCTTCATGTCTTGCGTTAGATAGGATGTGATATGTATCTTGCTAGTTATGTGTCATTTTGGTTTTCTAGCCTTTTATTATGGAGTGTCTGTTAGCTGTTTCCACTAAGAACATGTGCTATATATAGCAAAATAGAAATGCAGAATAGAACTATCAAATGTTAGGGGATCAGTAAAACAGTCTTTATAGTCGATCTCTGTTTTTGGTGCAAATAAAGTAGAAGAATGATACAGATATAGGTCATGGTTGTCATATCAAGGGAACAATCAGTTGAAGGAGAGGCTGGTTCCAGATTAAAAATTTGCTACTACTTATGAAACTGGTAGTATTGATAACTTTATAAAGAGGTTTATGGTTTCCAAAATGTCTTAACATATTAAAAAGATATGTACTAAATGATAGGGAATATTTTTATCTTAAGTTATGAAAATATTAAGTGCTCAGAAAAGTACATACAAATCTTCATGTGTGTGTAGTCACCTTCAAAATTAAGTAGCTGTTAATATTTTTGTTATATTTGCTTCAGATTTTTTTCTTTTTAAAGAAATAAAACATTTTAGATACAGCCAATTTTTCTTGCCCTCTCCGACCCCCAGGTACACATTATCCTGAAGTTGATGTATATCATTCCCATCTATGCCATTGTACCTTTGACAGAGAGGTATTCATAAACAATGTGTGCTGTTGTTTGTATGTTTTTATATTTGGCACAAGGAGTATCTTTTACATATCTTGCTTTTTAAAATCTGAACTTTATTTTTGAGTTTTTTTCATGTTGATAAAGGAGGACCAGATTTGTTCATTTTAAGTAATTTATTTGGACTGTAATGGGAATGGAGCCCCTGCAACTGTGCCACAGCTATTACTTGCAGTCTGTGATTTAATTGTATGAAGAAGGCATTCATTAATGCATATGACATCTGTGTACTTGTGTTCTAAAGCATATAGCCAAGAGGGTCTTTTGGATAGATACCTGGGCTGGGTTGTATACATTCCTTTATTTTGCCACATTACTCTCAGAAGCACTGTATGACTTATAGTGTTGTGTTGGATAACACCTATTACTGTCTGACATATTTGTTGTGTGGATCCCTGCACTAGGGTGCAAGCTTAATAACAGTAGGGATTTTAACTCTTTCCTTGTTTTCTTTGACTGGCATAGAATAGTCACTCAATATGTGTTCAGTGAATTTACATTTTATGAATTAGATCTCAAAGAGTGTGGTAAGGTAGACCAGAAAAATAGAATGATGTCTATTTTTCTGTGCCCATTTGTTGATGAGCAAACAGACACAGAGGTAAACTGACATTTGGGGGTTACACATCCAGACACTAATAATAGTATTTCTTATCTCTTGGTTTTGTCCAGGCCAGTTTGAAGGTACATGTTAGGATTTATAATTTTTCTAAAAGATAAGTTCTTGAAAGTCAGAATCTGATGAAATTAGTTTTCCAACTCTCAATTGTTTATTAAGCACTAGTGTATATCTAGCATTCTGAATTTTAAAAACTTCAGGGAGTTCAGGTCAAGAGTGATCTTAGCTGGGTAGACTTGAGGTTTATTGGTCCGCGGGCCGACACTCTAACCGCTGAGCCAAACCGGCCAGGGCTTTTTTTTCTTTTTTAAATCCTCACAAGACTTGAGGTTTATATTTGTGTGTACTTTACAGTGCTTAGTGCCTGGCATGCAGATGAGGCACCGTTCATGTTTGTGGGATGAATGAGCGAGCTCTTTCACTCTGGAGTCTCACTCTGGCTGTCTTTGTGGGAGACCTATGGGGAGTAAACATGGGAAAAAGCCAAAGAAGACAGGAAGAATAGGTAGGCCCTAAAAGTGCTTTCCAAGAAAGCAGCAGTCTGCTTGTTAAGAGCTCAGGCTAAAGGAGAAAAAGACCCGGGGGAAAGTCCTGGTGATCCGTTAACTTAATTAAATAGTGGAAGCAGAGTGACTCCAAAGAAAAAGGAGCACCCAAACTTTGGACCTTGGAACATACTTTTTCCTTAGAGCCTAGTCAAGAAAAAGAGTGTGGTGGTAGTAGTGGTGGAGTGTCTCATATCTTTCAGCTCCAGTAATAAATGGGAAGAAAAGGGGTTTACTTGTAGACCAGTCACTGAGCCAAGCACTTTATAGACATGATCTCATTCACCCTTTCTGTAACCCCATTAAGTAGGTGATCGTGTCCATATTTTACAGGTAAGGAAACTGAATCACCCAGCTAGTTAAGCTACTTAACTGCTAAGTTAAAAGAGCTGGGACTTTGAACCTAGTCTACCTTACTAAAATCTCTCTGCTCCCTTCCTAGACTACTTTTTCTTTGGAGCAGAAGGAAATAAAGGCCTGATTTGTTTGACATATGCAAAAATTTAAAAAGAAAATGCTTCCAGAAGTAAATGTGCTCGGTTCTGTCAGGCTTCTCAGGAAAACCCTACAGCAGTAGCAGTCATATTAAACAGCTGTCTCTCTTGGCCCAGAGTTGATCAGGTTCAGGAATTTGGTTTACTTGTATTTCATGAATAGAATTCAAGCCAGGCCTTAGGGTATGCATATTAAAAGTTTCAGTTCTCTTTGTTGGAGGAATGAAGGCTTGGTGTCTGCTTAGAGAATTATATTGGAATGTCAGAATTTTTGCTGAGTAAATGATTTCCTGTAGTCTGATTTTCTGTCCCATGCTAGTCTCCCTGTCTTGTTTCTTGCTGTGGCTTATGATGACCATAAGATGGTGCTGCAGCTTTGCAGTCTGCCTTAGGAAAAGGCAGTGGTGAAGCAGTCAGGGTCTCAGAAGGGGTCTCGTGGGCAGTGGATTTAGGGCTTCTTACTGCTCTGCTTTTGTGGAGGGCGATTTTCAAGTTTCCAGGAAAGGTGGGTAGGGCTGTACTGATAGAAATCTTTAGGGCTGACATAGCTAGAGCCAGGCAGGCTGCTGCTTCTGCTATGTGGGCTGGATCCTTTGGTATAGACTAAATAGCTGCAACCAAGAAGGAACTCATCTAACCTCTTTTTTTCCACTCCATTCAGAACCCTGTGGGTTGTGGTGGTATCTCATCTGTCAGACACTAAACTGAAAATCGGGGTGGGCAAATCCCATTGGCAAAACAGGGTGACTTTTGAATTCAACTTCCTAGGCCTGTTCTTCAGAATTCCTGCCCTATTGCAATTTAAGTAAAATTCATCTGGGCCACATTTTAGCAACTTCCTCCCTTGCTCTCAATAGCAAGTGCTGTATCTGTTTGAGCCCTCGGTCCAATTGAGTCTAGTTGCCTAATTCAGAACAGTGGGGGAATCTTCTTGTTTTACTTAACTGAGTACAGACTTCCATCCTGGCCATAGTTAGAAGCTTGTGTAACATGGGATTGAAATTAAAGGTCTTAAACAGGAGTTCATGCTCTGGCTTTGCCACTGACTAACTGTGTAGCCTTGAGCAAACTAATCAACTTTCTTAAACCTCTGTTTCTTTACCTGTCAAATGTAAAATAATAGTTTTGACCTTTTATGGTTACTGTGGGAATTAAATAAGATAATCCATAGCTTAGCACAGGATTTAGCACATAACAAACGCTAAAATAATGTTAGCTGTCAGCAGCAGCAGCTCTGCTGTTCTCCCATATCGTTCAGCAGAGACGCTGCCTTTCTTGTATTTGGAAGTGGTGTCCTTTTTACCGAGTGTTCAGATCCTATACTCAGAAATAATTTCTAGGTTTTTCCTGTGTGTCATTGGGTCAAGCAGATTTAACAGGTATTTCTCTCTCTCTCAGAGGAAGGAAATAGATGCTACAAGAGGCTAGATCTTTAAAGCCATTGTTTCTTTTCTTAACTGAGAATTTGGCTCTAGTCTCTCTTAGGTTATAATTTGGTTAAAATAATTATATTTCTGACCTGAAAAAATAGAGAATATGTCTATTTTGCTTGATATTATCTTATGGTCATCTTAGTACAACAATTAAAATCCATTTCCTTTCTGAGTTTCGGGGCCATAATTGCAGCATGCCCAGCCCTGGTTCTTCTTGGCCCTTCCCTTCCTGGTTGGTTCCAGCAGTGTTGGTTTGCTTTTTCCCTCTTTCTCCTCCTCCTTCCTCCACATTACCTTCTTCCATGGCCTCTCCTCTTCCCCCTCCCTTTTCCCTTTACTCTTACAATCTCCCCCTCCTCCTCTCCCTCCCTAATTTCTCCCCTCCCCTGGTTTCTGGCTCTTTTTGCTTTCTGTTTGTGTTTCTGAGGGCAGTGTTCCAATTACCTCATATTTGGAGAGAGGAAGCTGCAGCCAATCCGGTTTCTGTCTGCTTTTAGGTCAAGTGATTTCTGAACTGCAGTGAGATGCTTTGAATTTGTCTTGTTGCAGCTCTGAGCCTGTAAGATGGCTGTCTGAATCGCAGCGGCTGGAAGAGACAGAGAGAGGCGGGGAGGGAGGGAGAAAGAATTGGAGGGATTGCCGGCACAGTGCATGTTTTTAAATGTGCATCTAATCCGATGAAGCCAAGCTTGGGATTTCTCTGAGATCCCAGGGCCGGTTTAGCTGCTTTTTTGCTAAGATTAGGAGAGGGAAGCAATGGGAAATTCACTGGGCTGTGTTAAGGAGTCGAAAGATTCAGTAGCTATTCCTGAGAAGGCTCCTATATCTCCTAAGAAAAGAGTTCGGTTCAAAAGGAAGTGGAGGAGGAAGAAAACCTCTACTCCAGAGGTATCCCCTGAGGAAGAACCCTTGGAAGGAACTGGAGTCATTGAAGAGAAAGAAACCCTAACGAAGTTAATAGTGAGTCTCCGAAAGGAGGAAGGAGTGGAAGGGGTAGAACATCCCCCCCTAGACATTTTACCACCTGAGGACTCGGCCCCCAACTCAGGAGTGGGAGATCAAGGGATGATCGTGCAGGTGAAGGAGAGGTTCCAGGGGGAGATCCAGACTGCCCACCTTTTGCTAGAGAATGAGTCATCAGTTGCCGGAGGGGTCTGGGATTCCCTGGAAGAGGGGATGACTGTCATCGCTCACCTGCTTGATAACCCAGCAGAGAGGAACTGTGAGAAGTCAGTGAGCCAACTGGTGGAATTTCCGAGGACAGCTTCCTGCAGCAGCAGGGCTGTGCTGCTGCCTTTGCAAGGAGAGACTGCAGTGGAGAGAGTAGATACTCAGCCTGGATACCAGAGCAGCACTTTCCCCAGGATGAACCACCCCAGCAGCACAGGAGATGAAGACCAACTTTCAGAGGGCTGGAGTGTGGGGGGAGGAACCAAGGGTATTGTAAATGTCCCTGAGACAGGTTCCTGGATTGCAGAGTGTTCTGTCCCTTCATCACTATTGGAGCAGCTGAGAGGCCACAGACGTACAGAGCCTGCCCTCATGGGTCAAGTGCCCCCCCAAGGTCCCCAGCTGCCTGCTTCTCGGAGTGATTTGTCCATCAATGGCATGACTGGGAGCATTTTGCCCTCCTCCTCTGGCTATGGCACCAGTGGTCCACACTTACGTGGGATCCGGCCTAGGGATACAGAACCTGAAAAGAGCTCCACAACATTTTCAGAAGAGGATGGCAATCTTTCTTTGGAGGCTGGCCACACCCCATCATGGGGTCTGGAGGAGGTAGGTGGGCATGTCCCAGGGATAGGAAAACAGTTGTTTGGATTCCTGGCTCTCAAACTTACTAAAGTGGAGTATGGTGAGTAGTGAGGACCTTGGGGCTTCTTCTCAAACTTACCCCTATGTCGGGGACTGGGAGTTAGTGACTGCTGGATTTGGAAAACAGGATCTATTTCGGGTCTGCCCCTGGATGCTCTGGGGAATCCCTGATTCCAGTTAACATGCAGCATAATTGCTTGAGCTTTCAGGTGGGGTTATCTCTCAAGGTGCTGTGCTAGTTAGTACTTACTCTCACGCAGGTCTGTTTATTAGCTTCCCCGCCACAAGGAGTTTGTGGTGTAGCACAAAGGATGAGGGAGGTCCAGCCAAGTCTCTGAAATGAGTGGAAAAGGTGTAAGGAGCGTTGAAGGACTAAGGTAACTGTCTTTGATGTAATTGCTCTTCTCCCCAGGAGAATGTTCTTATTAGAGCTGATGCAATCCTGCTCCTGGGGGACATAGCTAATGACAACACTCATTCAATATTTGTAGAGGTGGACAGGGCTAATCCTCCTTTGGTTCCTAATTCTGGCATTAGAGGAGAGGGACATAGAGTTATCTGGAGAGTAATCCTGAGCAGGATTAATCTAGAGCAGTTATCTGGAGATTAATCCAGGTAGTTTGAAGGTTTGAGGCTAGAAAACATTGGTTTTTTGATTGGACTTGTTTATGGCTTTGATAAGTTTTTATTTGTGAGGTATATATCAAGGTATAGGTGGTGGTAATAGTGATGGTACTGGGTGCTGGGAATGTTTTTAGGGTTAAGGAGCAAGTGAGAATTCAGATCTGAACACTGAGAGGAAAGGAGGACTCGGCAAGACCCTGGGTAGCACAGTGACTGAAGTTATAATTCATCAGTGACTGAGGAACTTTAGTTGGCATGTTAGCCTCTGTAGCAGAAGAAATAAACACTTTAGGATCCCAGAGCAGCGAGAGATGGGAGGTGAAGTAGGGCTTTTTCTTGCTGAGACCGAAGGCAGCTGCCCTGTCTGCAGAACAGGGATGTGGCCCACCTGCTGGTGCCCTGCTTGTCACCAACAGCATGAGGCTGGGGAGAGACACACATTTTCAACTGATGTGTTTACAGTATCCTCTTTGGGGGTGAATTTTCTTCATAGATAGGTCCATCTCAGTGCCCTTTGTTACTATAGAATTTGGAGACTCCCAATAGTTGCAGGGAAAAGTGGTCATTGAAAAATATTCATTATATGGTTAGGCAAAAGGGCTTCTTGGATGTGTACAAGTACCCGAGTTTCATCGAAGAAGAGGGAATGTCAGCCCTGGCTGGAGTTGCTCAGTGGTTAGAGCGTTGGCCCGTGGACTGAAGGGTCATGGATTTGATTTCTGGTCAAGGGCACATACCTGAGTTGCAGGTTCGATTCCCGGTCCTGGTTGGGGCGTCTGTAGAAGGCAGCTCATCGATTCCCCCCTCCCCCCAAAAGAGGGAATATCAAACTCAACTTTTATCTTTGTATGGAATGGATGTGGAGTAGTTGGGTAAAATCAGCTGTTGAACTGATTGCTCTTTTGGTACCACTAGCATTAAGTTGGAGTTGTGGAGGCATCATAATATTTTAGGATTCGTGCTTATAAGTGAATGTGTGATTTTCAGAAAGTCTGGAGTGTAAAATGTTAAGGGACTCCTAATGGAAGTCAGTTCTAGGTAATGGAGTATAGGTGACCATGGCACTTGAGTATGGGATTTCCTCACTGCGAGGAAAGGTTCTGAACTACTCCACAAGTAATCTTAAAGAAAAGATTAGTGGGAGAAACCTTTGGACCATCTGTAGTTTGGCAGTACTGATAGTGGTGTGATTCTTTTGCTATTCAGTATGTGAATCAAATTGATATGTGCCATTTTCTGGGCAGCCAAGCTCTGTATCCCATCCCTTCTATCCTTTTGGATCAGACACAACCAGTTTTACAGATTCCTCAGCTGTAAAACTCATTCCAGGATGAAAAACTGAGTAATGGTCAGCTCAGACTGCTGAAGAGTTTCTGAGGCTCTGTATCCATTGTGTGATGTGGAGACCACAGACTGACCATCCTGTGTGACAGAGAAGTACTTTCTCAAGATAAATGTGAAATCCCTGCAGAATGTAGGTCCTCAAGGTAAAAGGGGCCTGAGAACCTCATTGAGCTCCCTCACTGGCAGGCTGTTTACAAGGCATAAGGACAGCAGCAGTCAGGGAGACAGAGGTAGTGTGTTCTGACACTGCAGGCCTGTGAAATGCGGGTGGAGACTTGAGGCAAGAGCATCTGACTGGAGCCTGAATTCCCTCTGCTGAGGGCGAGAGCCCTGGGAAGACACGGGTCAGGAGAGCAAATGTGTCTAGTCACACCAACTCCTTCCTGAAGAGGAGACAGTCATATGTTAGAATAGTGACCCTCCTCAGAAAATAATTCAAGTTCCACAGTGCTGTCTGTCCTTGGCATAACACAGTCCATATAGTCTCTCTTGTTAATCAGTCCAGAGCATATCAATGGGAATGGGACCAGGCTGTGGCAAGACATAGTTTGCAGTGGTTTTTGTTTCTTTTTAGGATAGAGAGAAATGGAAACTTTTAATTCTTACGAGTGCGGAGTTTAGGTGATAAAAGATAAATGCTCTGCTTCCTGTTTACCTGCTACAGTTGATTCTCCTCTTATCAAGAAATAGTTAACACAGAAGCAGGATGGCAGGAGCCAGCTGACAAAAATGGTTTTCAAAGTGACAAGTAGATGAGGATATGGAGCTGGATGGGAGCAGGTTAACAGCATTGTACGTTGATGTCAGGGCCAAGGCCTTCTCCGGCCCATTCCTTCTCTCAGGAGGACTCCCTACTCCCAGCTGCCATCAATAGCCACAGTACCTGGCTGTTTGGAACAAGGAAAATTGTTGAAATCCCATCCTCCTCCCTATCTTGGCTCTCACTGCCAATTTCCTGCCCACACTATTAGTGGATTCTGTTGAATAAAGAATTTGGCTCTATTTCAATGTTCTTGCTACAAATCCTATAGTCCCTACAACTCCAGTGATAGTCAGATCTAACACTGGGGGCTAGTAATGCTAGAAAGAGATCAATTGGTATATTATTTTTTAAGCTCATCCTTTCAGTTTACAAGTACCCCTTTCCGATTTCTCCTCTTTTAATGATAGGGAAAGTTGTTTTACTAACATTGGTTTTATATTGCAAGAAAACAACAAAATTAATTAGATGATACTATTATAAGAATGTAGCAGTTAAAATTGCAGTTAGAGTTTTGTTTAAGAAAGGATTTTTTATTTTTCAAAAAATTTACTGAATTAATCTCCAAGGGAGGGGCTGCTGCTTTTCCCCACAGCTCTGGGAAGGAGCAGGCTGGCCACCGTCCTTTGTGGCTGCAACTCAGCAAGGACTCTGACAGCCCCCCAAATCCAGGTTGTCCCCACAGAGTTCCAGTCCAGTCTGACCTCCCTCTGCCAGAGCCCCAGATAGAGTGGGAAAGAGAGAGAGAGAAACATCAATGTGAGAGGGACACATCGATTGGTTGCCTCCTGCACGACCCCAACCAGGGCCAGGGACAAACTGCAACCGAGGTACATGCCCTTGACTGGAATCGAATCCACAACTCATTGGTCCGCAGGCTGACACTCTAACCACTGAGCAAAACCAGCCAGGGCAAGCTCTTACCTCCCAGATGTGGGATTTCATCTTTGGAAAAGAAATTGAATATAGACTTGGAGCCATGTTTGAGAAATTAAATGGGAATCAATTGCAGTGAAGACCTTTGGAGGAGCTCAAAGAAATGATGTTTATGGGAAACCACTAGTCCTCACGTGGTTTCTCCAACTTTGTGGAGACAAATGCCTGTATATCACCAGACAATTGTCACAAAATCAGAATTCTCATTCTTACTTTGCGGTGACCACTGTTCTTCTGTATCAGTGGTTATTTCCTGTTGCTCTAGAATCTGTGTTTGAGATATTTAATTATTTGATGGACTTTTAACACTTTGCATCTGAAATTCTGATTGGGTAGCTGAACCCCTGATTGTTCTTTCTGAATCACAACCAATAAAAATAACTTAGTTAAAAAAAATTTACTGAATTAAAAATATTGCTAAGGAATCATCATTATTCTTTAGGTATAACAATGGTGGTGTGATTATGTTTAAGATAGTCCTTATCGCCCTGGCCAGTTTGGCTCAGCGGTTAGAGCGTCGGCCTGCGGTCCAGAGAGACCCGAGTTCGGTTCCCGCTGAGGGCACGTACTTCGGTTGCGGTTTGTCCCCGGCCCTGGTTGGTCGTGCGGGTGGCAGCCACTCGATGTGTCCCTTTCACATCGATGTTTCTCTCTCTCTCTCCCTTCCTCTCTCTCCCTCCCACTCTATCTGTACAAAAAAAATGGAGATATATCCTCGGGTGAGGATTAAAAAAAAAAAAAAAGATAGTCCTTATCTTTTAGAGACATACAATGAAGGATGTTCATGGAAGAAATGATGTATGTGGAATTTGCTTCATAATAATGCAGGAGGGGTGAAGTGGGTGGAATGTAGATAAAACAAGGTAAGTTATGATAATGGTTGAAACTGGGTGATGGGTACATAGGAGTTCATTCTGTCTCTTTTTGTATATATATGAAAATTTCCATTTCAAATGGGAAGTTAAGAAAAATAATGGTAAAATTATTATATGATGCATATACCGAAAAAGGATCAACATCTAGAATGTAGGAAGTATAGTGTAGTGGTTACGAGTAGTGGTTACGAGTATTAAGATGTGGTTAAGAATGGCTGAGTTTGACTTTCTACTCTGTTTCTCACTAGCATTGTAACTTGGGGCACGTTACTTAACTTCTCTGTGACATAATTTTCTCATTTGTAAATTGAAAATAAGAATAATATCTACTTTGTGGGGTTGCTGTGAGAATTACATGAATTAGTACAAGTAAAATAGTGTTGTTAATATTATTATTTAAAGAATCATTACAAATAAAATAAGACAAAGGTAAATGCTCTAGTAGAAAAATAAGGGAAAGCCCAGGAATAAGCAACTGGCAAAAAAAAAAAAAAAAAGGAAAACCAAATACCTCATACACGTGCATCTTTCTCACTAGTAATCAAAGATATAGAAATCAAAAC